GCTTTGCAAGAATGCTTAATTCCTAAAGCCTTCCTTTGGTGTTTTTGGATTTTGCATGCTTCTGGAGGTTTCTTTTCTCCGCCACAGATACATCTGAAAAATAAATCTGTCAGTATTTCCAGCGTTTCTTCTGTACTATGATTCTCAAATTTTCAGCAAGCTGTAGAACAAATTCTCCTATGAGCATTTGTATGTTAAGGAATTACCTAACATCTCCTCAGGTCTTTTGCCACCTCTCTTACAGCAGATAGCCCCTAGATAGCCCTTGTGACTGTTTGTGGTACCTGCTTTCATGGTGCTTGCAAACCAAAGAATATGAAACATAAGTGTGTCCTGGAAAGCAATGAGAAAAAACAGTGCCTTCATCATTGGCAAATCTTCTCCCTGGTTATATTCACTTTGCATGCAAATAAACAAAAAAGTAATATTTTATTAGGAATCCAGTGGATAGAATAATGGACTGTAACTCAACAGAGCTCAGTTCACAGTTCTGCCGTTGGCTTATTGGACAGTCATTTGTATCATCACCATACAGCCTGGGATAAAGACAATTTCTTTGTAATGTGAGATCTATAACAGGAAAATATTATGCAGAAGGAATAATAATAATAAATTGATTCTAATGGTAACAAAATTATATGTTTTCTATATATGTTTGTGTTGCGTGCAGCAGAATGAACAGTTTCTATTCTGCCTCATGCTTCATCAGTGGTGCTTTTCACTCGTTTCCATTTTAAGGGCTACATGTATTAGTGTATTGTTTCTAGATGTACCTTCAGATACAGGTGTGCTTCTCCAGTGAAAGTGATAGCATTTCATTGTGGTAACACTGGGCTGCATTTCTTGCTTCTTCATTACTGTTGATAAGCCATAAAGGACTTTATGGGTAAGTTCAAATACCTACCATTTATGGTGATGATGGGGAGGGGCTTTTTTTATTTGTGAGCTGAGTAAATACGTTGCACAGATTCTTGGGCTGTGAGGACTGTGATTCCCTGAAAGAAATTTGCATGAAGTCATTTGTGTCTGCATTTGTTTTTTACATCTTCTCTGGTTATATGTGTAACATAACACATTCATTTTGCCTTATTTTATGCAATGTAAGCAGTACATACATTCAGGAGCAAGTCCTGAATACCTCAGCTGGTATTTCTGGAACAAGCAGGGTTGCATTGCCTGAGAATCTAACCTCACCATCAGCTGTAAGTGCCAGTCTTGCAGCGCATTATGCAAACGTTCATTGTAGTTTGTTAGCAGCAATGCTGTCACCCAACAGTACAAGCTGCCTTCTATCATCCATTACTTTTCTGTCATCATCATCAAGTGTAGCTTAAGAGAATCTGTGCATCGTTTCTTTCCTTTTGAACAATTTCTATTGAAATAATTGAGCTGCTTTTATGGTAATTCAGTCTCTGCTATTTGTTACTGAAGCATTTTGCAAAGGAAAATGCAAAACTAATGCCCTAGAACAGAAATATTCAGCCAAATTACTTAACAGTAACCCAAGGAATCATGGATAAATCCATTGCTCAAGTGGCTTCTCATTTGGAGCTTTATACAGTTTTCACCCAAGGGTTGAGATTCGTTTTTTTTGTGGGTGGAGGGGTTGTTTTGTTTCTGAAAGGTAATACTCACGCTCTCTGCCCTAGAGCAACTTTATATAAATCTCTTCTGAAAACTGTATCTGCCAACACTGTCACTCCACCCACAAGCTTTCACTAGTAGCACCAGCTAAAAAATATTTAAAGGTGCTGTTTCCACTTGTTTGGTGCATTTCATTTCATGTTTCTGCCTCTTCCTTTCTTCATTCTTCAAAAAAAAGTCAATAAGAGATATCATTTAAGCCCAGTGTTTTGAAGTGACAACCAGTAAACAGCCTTATAACATGATTAATGAGTACTCAGGAATAGTTTTCTGTAACTTACAAGTAGGTTGGGGCCCACTGAATTTGTTTTAAAGTAAATGAAAAGATTCCATTTATGGGTTGGGACCTTCACTGAGTCACTGGATATGCTATATTTTCCACCAATTTCTACCACTGGCTGGTGGTGTTCATGTCAAGGTGTTACACAGTCACAGGGAAGTACAAGCTAGAACAGAAGTGACACTCGTAATCTGGACTTCTGACAAGTTAAACAATAAGGAAGACTTTAATTTCCATTTAAAAACTGGAAATGAGGTTCAAGGTATGTGATGAAAACCATGAAGTCTTCAGGAAAAAAAATTGCTGTTCTGAAAGTAAAAATGAATGTTGTTTACTTCTACCTCATGGATATGTTTTTCTTAATTTCTTTGGCTTTCATCAGGCTTGGCTTTCTGTGGAGTTTCTGAGCTGCTATTGTTTTCTTCAGAGGAAAGATGCACCAAAGTGAAGACATCATAGATGTTACCCTAATGGTTTACGCAGAGTCATTGCTAGTCAAAGGCTTCTAGGGTTTGATAAGAGCAAATGGGCCCTGAATTTCTCTACTTTCATTTGGAAGTTTATGGAGTAGGTGGATTCCCATGTCTGAGAGAGCCAGCATCTCCACATGGATGACATAGCTCACGGGTGCTCTCTTTTGACCTTTTGAAAGTGGAAGTAGGTTGGGGAGAAATGGAGTCATGAAGACATAGGTTGAATATTTTAATTGTTGCCTAAGTCTTAGGGAAGTTCAATAGCCACATCCTCTATGATGTGCTCACAGTGCTTACACAAGCAGCTTCCACACAATGAGTTACAGAGCTGGAGTAAATGTATTCATGAAACTCCTGTGAAAATACTGATTGCATTGTGAGATTCTGCCTCTGTGAGGAAGAATTTACCTCACCTTCCCAGCCCAGCATTTTGGTCACTGATATTTCTCAGTGTTTCTGATGCTCCGGGACTGCTGTGAATGAAAGAAGACTCAGTATTTTCAGCACTCTGAATGGTGTGCTGTCCTTCTCAATCTGTGTGTTGGGTTGGAGGAAGGATTTATATCTTGAAAAGTTTTACAGGTGGTATGTTGGACATTTCACTTTGGTGCTGCTTGTTTTGGAGGTAGCTTTATTTAGTAAATTGAGCCTAAATAATCCAGTAGCAAATGACTCTTACATGAAATGAGGTGTCAATCTAAATCCAGACTTTTATGGAAAATACTTGGTTATTTATGCTTTCAGCAGAGAGGTGAAGATTGTCAGTGATCCCTATAGGATGTGGATTTCTGACGGGTGAGGCTGGGTGGGACATGTGATTCTGCTTGTTTGAAGAAGGATGAGAAGAGTATTATGAGCTAGGATAACATTCTTTTTTCGTTTCTTTTTTTTCTTCTTTTTCCTTTTTTTTTTTTTTGCACAAACAACAAGCAATTTGATCTAACTAAAACAACTGTGTGGCTGCCCTACTAACTCTCCTCAAGGAGTGAATACCTTAAGAGTAGATTTTGATGGAAGTTATTAAAGATATCAAAAATTCTTTATATAAAGGAAATGTAGGACAATCTAGCTTCAGAGTTCAGAACATCCAGAATGCCATGGTTATTGTATAATATCACAGTCAATTATATTTCTTGTTTTACAGTTTTCTTTGTCTCTTTCTCACACAAGCCTAGACTCTGATTTCATAATGTTAATGAAATGTGTTGTGATGTTCCTGTAGGCTGCTGTGGGTAAATAATTACAATCTGAGGAAAGTGATTCATGATGTGACTCTAAGTCTGTAAAGTAAGACTTTGTGACTGATTAATATATAAACAAAGTGGACTGCAATGTCTAAAAAAAGCCCTTCAGAACCCCTGACAGGTCAACCTACAGTCACTGCAAGGATCATCTGTCTCAGCCCAACATATACTTCTATGAGTTTTGGTGATTTTCACCTGAGGCTTTCTCAGTGACCCAAACCCTATATTTTGTGGTGTGTCTCTGACAACTTCTCCTCCTGTTCTTCAACCAACCAGGTAACCAAAGCCTGAGCCTTCTCATGAGAAAAGGGGCCAGCTGACAGCATGCCTTTTCCTACACATGCATCCTGCTCAACATTGAGGATCAGGAGTAACGTGATGCTAGGGCTTTTCCCAAATTCCAGACCTGCGGCTGGCAAGTTTGAGGGTTTTATTTCTCCTGTTCATTCAAATCTAGACCAGACGCAGAATCCTTTTAAGTTTCTCCACTGTTATTCACAATTCTCTTTGTGACTGTTGGAGAAAGAAATGTTCAGAACTGTTTAAGAAATTTTTATATACAGGCAGGAAAATGCTTTAAAAGTGTAAAAAATACAATGCAAGTAATGCTGTTGCTTCTTCTCCAGTCATATGCTACGCTTTAAAAAGCCAGCATGTTTTCTTCCACAAAAAGATCTTTATATTTCTGAACTTTCAGAAGCCTTAATCAATATAAATAACAGTTTGAGCATGATGACATCATATTTAGTTCTAGAGTTGTGCATCTCAGCTGCTTAGTCATTTAAATCAGTGGAAACAAGCATAGCAGTTAGAAGTTTCAAAAGGTCAAAGAAGCTACTGTCTTTTCAGCTTTGAATCAGCTGAGAGACTCCAGTTTCTTGGGAACATAATGCCAAGGCTGCATCTCTGCATCTCCTTTCTTCCCCTTCACCCCTCCATCCACTTTGAAGCAGTATAGTAATTAGCTTAAAGGGCAAATCACACCACACTCAGTAGCAGGATACTGTACAGTGCAAGTTCCTTTCTATTTTCTCTTTCACTTGAAACTAGTTTAAAGAGGAGTTTTAGCCCACATTGTGTACTGAAATATTTGACTGAAGTTCTCTTACCCAAATGCCAAAAAGTTATTTACATTTTTCAATAAAACGAATACTTTTTCAGCATAAACATGACAAGTTCTTTTACCATTTTCTCAGAAGGAAAATAAGTGATAAAGTGTTCCTTAGAGAGCAATTTGTGAAAAAATTAAAATCAAAATGAAAGCAAAAGTCTTTTAAAAACACTCTGCAGTGTTTTGCAACTGCTATTTCTTATATGTTTTTCTGAATGACTCTTTGTTTTATTTTCACACATTTCCAGCTGCCGTTCTGCTGCTGAAGTGAAACTGTCCAGGCGGATTATTGAGCATTTCCATTTCGTGGTATATGCAGCTTTCTCAGAACTGGGAGCCGCACGCTGGTGCTCCAGGGACTTCTGGCTGCTTGTGCTGCTGGTAGTTTTGCTGTGGTTCATGAGACTTTACCTGCATTATTTGAGCCAATGGCTTTTCCTACAGAGCATCTCAATTCCTGTTACAAAGTGAGTCCCTCTGCCTTCTTTGTCTGCCCGAATGTTTTTGCAAATAGCTTGATTCAAAGCAGTTCCTTTGAACTAGGAAGAGAATTGATGACTAAGACTCGTGCTAATGGCTCTGCATGCAAGCCCCGATAGGATCCTCTGCAAAGACTAGGAAAACAAGGACCACATCCAAATTCCAGATGATCTGATGTGTAAATGTGACCCTAAGAGAAAGGTGAAGTTATTAATAATGTAAATTTTCAACCCAGAACAGGATGTTTCCATTTGTGCATCTTGTGTCACGCTTACCTGTCTCCTCTCTCAGATACCCAGGAGGTTATGTATCTTCCACAAGAATCATTTATCACTTTGGATCAAGTATTTCAAAATGCCTAAAAAGTGCACAAAACTGAAGAAGCATTTAAATCATATTTGATGTTACCAAAGTGATCTATGAGCAAAATACTTTGAAGAATTTAACTTTGATGTATCAATTTTACTGTAAGGACTACAATTGGTTGACATATTTTAACTGTATGATACATTGACTTTAACTCGAGAGTCAGCTCTCTAGAGAGTTCCAGGAAAATCATTACTTGTCATTACTTGACATGAAAAATAAAAAGACAGAGAACAAGTCCACAAGGTCATATATACCTGGTTCTCTGTATGTTGCTGTGGGGTTGAGAGTGTGTCTACAGAGCAAAAAAGATCAGTCATGCTTAGGGAAGGGAAGATTTCTCCAATAGAACTTTTTTCTTTTTTGTCACTTAAAAGCATGATGCAAACCTGAATCAGTCAGTAGGAGCCAGTAACACGCAGTTCTGTGACCTATGTCTGCTGTGGTACTGGGATTATTAACCAAAATTTGATCAGGGTGTCTGAGCAGACTCTGGACAGCACTAGGTGTTGTTAAGGTGGACTTCTGGATCTTAATGCAAAGTCAGCCACCTCTCACTTCTGGCTTTGCACAGCCTAGGTGGGCTCAGCCAGCTGGCATTAAGACTTCTGGGAGGCCAAGCATCAAGAATCTGTGAAAGCAAAGGAAACATAACAGAAGGAAGCAATGTGCGTGAGAGAGGTGGTCATGTTTGAAGACACTAATCACAGCTGTCCCAGACAGTCAGCTAGATAAAGGATGTAGTTCTCAAGATGAGATGCCTGGAATCAGCATCCCAATCTGTAGCTGTGTGCCTGCAGAACATGTGACTGAGTCGAGCACTCTCTAGTCCCACCAAATACAGTGGCAGTACTCACAAGTTGGAGCCAAAGTGAGAATCAAACCACTTTATCTTTAGTTAGGAACAGAATTCAAGCCACTTTGATTTGCTTTAAATTTTTGCCTCAGATTTCAGTGTCTGTATGTAGCTCAGAATACCATGCAGTTCCCGTCTCTTACAGTGCCACCAAACTTGCTCATCGTGTGAGCTTTGCAAATCCCATCATCCCATGGTGGCAAGAGGGACATTTCCAGTCACTTTAGGGATGCTAAAAGCTATGTCTTCCATATCACATTTTCCGCTTCATGCAGTGTACAAAGGTGCTGCAGTATGCAGAGGGGTGAGCTCCTGTGGTCTGTGCTCACATTGGTGCTTCTGGGAGCTAATCTCCTGCTGTAGCCCTCCCTGCACAGTCCCAAGGGCCTGAATGTGCATCCACTGAACTGAGAGCCAGAGGGTATCAAAGGATGTGGAGGCAGGAGGAGGAGAAGAATTTTATTTTTTGAGTAGCTTCATGTAGTTTTTGGTCAGAGGGTTGCAACCAAGGTGGGGATGCAACTTTACAATGCAACATGCTCTATGTGTGTTTGTATCTTTTTAAACGCTTTACCCAGGAGCACAGATAAACTCTCTCCTTTTTCTTATTTACAGATTCCAGCTTTTCCCTCACACTGTTGAACTGTGCTACCAGAACTCCTTGCTGCAGACCAGTGAAGAATTGGTCATGGTTGTGGTGGGACCCCTAACCTTGAACGCAGGGCTGCTGCTTATGATCCTGATCAGATGGGGCTGTCAGCAGCTGTTTGACTCATTTCCTTCCTTCTTGTCAAAGTTTATCATAGCTATGGGACTCTGGACAGTGCTAGACCCCTTGGCAGTGTTTGTAGTGGATTCATTCCTGGGGGTAAGTCACTTAAAATAACTTGGACATGAGACCTTGACGTAGAAGTTTGTTTTATGCAGTGAATCACCAAAAGTTATGAAATTCCACCCCTGGCAATGGAACATGAAAGTTGAAAAGAAATTAAGTAATAATGTTATACATTACCTTTTTATTAACAAAATTCCCATCTAATGGAGTCACTGTGTTTCCGCATAAATTTAAGAGCACTGTACATGCCATATATGGAGATAAGAAAGTAAATCCACCACTAGAATGATTGCATCTGCTTTGAAAAGGATTACTGCAATTTTGGATGTTAATGGAGTTGGGTTAATGTGCAGTCTTGATTATTAACGTTTCAGATTTTTCTAAGCACTGAAACAGACAAAACAAAAAAATAGAGGTTATTGTGCACTCCTCTGACATGCAAGGTAGTTAATATAATTTGCTGGCACACTTAAAAAGACTCGTGAGATTGAAAGACAGACATCT